AAAAAAAAAAAAAAAAAAACAATAAAAAACCTACCAGGAACTTTGAAATTCCATGCTTTTTGGGGAAACAGCTTATTCATTTGCTGTTAGAGGAAACGCCATTTTATAGGTAGTAAGTTGAGACAGAGAAAAGGAAACCAGTACAGTGAACATCAGTGAAGAAATAAATGTCTTGGACAATCAAGACCAGACCCTGCCCAGGACCTCAGGGAAGGGGCATAGAATAGACTTCGGAGCTGTCACTTCAGAGGGGTGAGGAAGGTGGGGCTTCACTCACTGGTTGATTAATTGGAGGACTGATACCTGAAGTGTTAACTCTGGCAGTCATGATCTTGCATCCGTGGCCCTGAGAAGCCTCTGGGCAGGAGTGTAGGTGATGGCAGTGCGTCTCCCGCAGATTTGGTGAGTGTTGGGTTAGGTAGCTTTTGCAACAGATGGATGGTAACCTTCATTATGTTGTCAGGGACCCTGGATCCTTCTATATTTTGGCTTTGCCATCTTTAGAGATGGATTTGGTCATCAAGTTTTATTTATAGTTGCAATTTGAGCACTGTGACTCCATTCATCTCCTCCACATTTCATGTAGCTATAGAAAGAAATTTCCTCATTGCCCTTCCTTTTACCATTTTTCTTTTCAGGGGAGACTGGGAGACTAGTTTTTCAAATTTATTTCTGTTTTAACATTTTTAAAGATTTATGCACACAGAATTGGGGTACAGGGCACAGGTGCAGGAGTGGTGAGAGGATTCCTTAGAGACAGAGTGGGGAGAACAGGCAGATTGAAGCACACTGCTGAGGGGAGCAGAGGATGAGACAGGAGAGGTCACCATATGGGTCACTCCCTGGTTGGGATTGAACTTGTGCTTGAAGGGGCTACAGCTAGCTTCATAGTGCTGCCTTTAGCCTGTTGAGCTACCAGGGAGGCCCTCAAATTTTTTTAAGATTTTTTTTTTTTTGCAACCATGTAAGCATTTCTATTAGTAGTAATGAAAAATATGACACTATGCATAGGTAAGCCACTGTGACATGGGCATTGTGTGGCACCAGTTTTTCAAGGGTTTTTCCCCAAAGAGCCCAGAAAATGAACCAAGACTAATAAGGTTCGATTCTACTTAAACTGTTTAGAATCCATTTGTCTGGCCCAAGTCTGTGTGGCTCAAACTGAGTAGTGAGCTTTGCCCTATTCACTTAATCCAGTTATAAATGAATTGATATAACCTAAACTGTCTTAATCTCCTTAACTCAATTAGAGCCAGTTTTGAACTGGGGGTAAAAGAGGGGAAAAAAAAAACTTTAATTCAATTTAACTTCTCCAGGACCAGTTTTATTCCTCTTAATTTACTCACTTAGTATAATTTGAACTGGGCTGGTTCCAGTTTGAAGCAATTTTATGTCACTGCTTCATCACATACCAGTTGAGCTAGCTTGATCTTGTGGGAATTCATTGCAACCAATTAGGACTGGTTTGATTTGTTCTAATTTGTATAGGATTCATTTTATACAGTTTAACTCAAGGAAAATTGTATTAAGCTTGCTTAATCCAACTGGATACAAGAAAAACTTCCTTTTAAGAATAATCCTGGCTTAGGGGATTGCACTCCAAAGATAGAAAACACACCTAATAGCTCAAAGGACAATCCCAGGCTGCCCTAAAGTCAAAAGTGGAGAAAAATGAGCATTCTCAGTCCATATTCTGTTGCCCACTTCTTTCTTCACTGGCTTGATACTGATTAAATGAAATATTGGATACCCAGGCCCCCATTATAAAGGTCCATAAGGGGAGGGGTAAAAAAAAAAAATTCCTGTTTCTTTAGTCTCCTAGTTCTGTATATGTGGAATCTTACTATGATAAAAACTACAAGTTTGGGAAACCTCTAGTGCAGAAAACCAAGGATTGGAATAATGGCTAACACAGTCCCAGCATCCATCTTCTAAATTTCTCCATTTTTGCTGTAGCTATATGGACAAAAAAGCATCATCTTGGCAAGTCTTAGCAATCTAACTCTTTGGTATCCCAAAGAGTTGACAAACAAAAGCATCAATAGTAGGTTTGGTTTTAGATGTCAGTAATTTTATTGTCACGGTCCCTTTCTCAAACAAGACTGCAATTTGGTCACGTCCTTTTCTTATCTCATTACAGTTAGAGAGAGGGCCTTTTGAGTTGATCTATTAAGAAATTTTAACATAGGCCACAGTGGCAGTGAGAAAAGTATCTTCTGAGTATTTAGCCATTGCTTTATTTCTCAAATGACTTGGGTTCTTCAACCACATTACAAATGCTTGCTTGGCCATTCTACGTGGAGTTCTCAAAGCCCGCTCAAGTCCAGCTTCATGTCTGAAACTGACTCTTAATTCCCTCCCTTCCTCCCCCCACCCAAATATATAAGCCTCCTCAAGCCTGTTCCTTTGTTCATATTCCCATGTCTCTAATCCACCCATTTACCCCATCTCCATTGTCATGTTCAAATTCTAATTTTGTCTCACCATCACTCTGGATGATAACAAAAGCCTCCCTACTGCTTTCATCTAAGGGTTCTGGATTGTGTCCAATGTACACACCAAACTGCAATTTGATTGAAACAGAAAACTGATCCAATGTATCACTTTCTTAGACATCTCCAATGACGTTGGAGATGTGCTTAGGATTCACAAATGCCAGTTCTGTGCTTAGGATTGACAAATGCCAGTTCTGCAAAGACACCTGTTGATCCAGCAAAAGTAAATGAATTAGTCAGACTAAGTAGAACACATTGCCTGAGTCCAGTGGTGTCTCCCAAGGGGGATGTTGAAGGAGGATATTTACAAGCTTCAGGTATGTTCTCGCGTAGTTCATGAAGCACTCTCATGAAATTGTCTGGTTACTTGCTGAACCATTAGGGCTGGTAGGCACAGCAAGTTGAGAGTCTTGATTAAGTCTTGATAAATAAACTGCTGTGTGATGAGCGACACACAACAGTTTATGAAGGCCAACCAACTCGGATTCCAAACTGAGTGAGCTGTTTCTGCAAGTGCGCATGCTTTGGTTCTGAATGGGAGAGATGAGTCAAGTGTTTGTCTGGATAAGTTAGTTGGCAGGAATTTCCTAAAACAAACCGTAAAGTTATTCATTGCTTTACAGGTTTAACTTTCTGGGCAAAGAATCATCTGAAACAAACAGTTCAGTCATGTTGACATATCTGATCTCAGGTCTCAATTGTTGACGGTTAAGCTATACGGAGGCAAATGATTCAATTTTCTGGCTCAAAACCAAATTCTCCAAGTGGCCTTGGAGACCTGCATCCTTTCAATCCCCATCACATATTGGAGACCAGAAAAGTGTTTCTTTCAGATCACACTTCTCTCCTCTTTCCCCTACTTGTCAAACCTCTGAATGTAGTATTTCCCACTCCAGGAATACTATTTTCCCCTTCACTTAACTGAATTTCTGCTGAGACTTCAGATCTCAAGTTAATTTTGAGTTCTTCAGGGTGCTTTCTCTGCCCCTCTTCCATCTAACAGGAAAGTGACCTGCAACTGTATACACTCCTATAATTGTCTTAAAATATATTTGTAATATCTCTGCAGTTTTTAAATCATAACCTTATAATTACAATCAGTGGGAACTATGCACATAGCAATTGCTCAATAAATAATTGTGACAGTAGGCAATAACATTTGGATTTGGATACATAAATCTAGCTAACCCATATTTTAAAAAATCTCTTAAGAAACCTTAAATAATATTTATACCCACACTATAAACAATGATGTTAAATAGCCTCAGGGGTAAATGAAAACAGAAGCATTTCCCCTTAAAAGTGAATTTATATTTGACTTGATATAAAACAGTGTTCCTTTTGGATAAGTACAATTTCAATTTCTAAGTATACCTCTTATGTGAAATACTTAAGACATCACAAATCATGGGTTGGCTAAAATTTCACTAATACCACCTGGAGCAGACTCCATTTGAAATATTTTGCTTCCTTGCTGATAGTTGATGACAATGTAGAACACAAATAGCACATTGTTCCTAATGTGAATTGTGAGTCCTAAAGCCATAATTTTGTTTTTTGAAGAAAGGTTTGAGATTTTTGGGGGTAGATTTACTCTCAAGATCAAGGGAAGAGACATTTTTGCTATAGTGGAAATAGGCTATCATTTCTGAAGAGAATCCTGTTCTGCTAGTGAGCTGGGTGGAGGAGATGAACTTGGATATTCATTACCTCCTCATATGTAAGAACCTATGAAAAAATGCAATAGGATGTCTTCTATATCATATCCAAGTCAACATGTGAGATGAAAGACACATGACTTCCAGAGATTTTTTTGATATATGGAAACATCCTTTATAGATACAGGTTTTTGTTTTTTTTTTTTTTCTCTTTTTAATCTATGTGTGTGTGTTTACTGATTGGGGCCGGGTAATATGTTAAAGGCATGTGGTGATAAAGCTAGAATTGACTTGATGAAGATGTTGACCAGATGTTGGGTAGCAGGTTTGAGTTCTCAGGAGGCAGAAAGGGGACAGGGGATTTTGACTGGATGCTGTGATTCAGCATTACTACCATACTTCACACCTTGGAAAAATCAAGGATTAAATGCCTACATAATAAAATCCAGATATAAGAGATGAGAAATAAGGCAGAATTAAGAGTCTGACAGAGCTGTGAAGATGACTTCTTAATGAGATGAAGTTGGCACCAAGGTTAATGACCTGAAT